GATACACATTTGCAAAACCAGGGGGGAAATCAGTGTTTTGTTTCCGAGATGAGATCCGAATGTAGAAAATGTTGCGTAGGTTAGTAAAATGGTTGAAACACTGATTTCATGTTATTCTAACATCAGACCCAGAATCCTGTTGCTGAGCAATTCATCAGACTTCACAAAAATTAAGCTCTTACTGCGTGGTAGGTGTTGTACTAAGCACTTTACATGCATTCTCTTTTAGTTCTACCAGCCACTTTGAGGTAGGTGCTATTACCATCCCTGTTGTGGAGATGAGAAAGCGGATTTAGGGAGTCGAAGTAACTAGCCTAGGGTTATACAGCTAGCAAGTACCTGGGCTGGGATTCTGGGAGGCAGTGTGATTTCTGGACTGTTCTAAGATACTATCTCGTCACATACGAACATCACAGCACCAGCCTGGAAATCAAGGGCCTAGGAGGCTCATCTGCCAGCTCCACTGTGAGCAAATCACACAGACTTTCTGGGCTACAGTTAACTTAGCCCACAAAATGAGAGGTGAATTCAATTGCCAAGGTTTCTGCAGGCATTCTGAAGCCAAGTGTGAGTTTCTGTTTCATCTCCTTTCTCTTCCACTTTCTGCCCTCTGGTGGAGGTGCTACAGGAACTATGAAGTTAAAGCAGCTAAGTCGATTTGAGGCAGCCAAGGTAGATCAGTCTCCCTCACTCTTCCACTGCTATATTGTGTTCCTCTGAGAACTAAAGCTGATCGCACTAATGGTGTAAAATAAACATTCCTTAAACTTCCTTGCAGCAAGAAAACCCAACCAGTTCTAGTTACCAATCGCACCAGAGTGAATACTTGAGACATTCTTTGCACGAGGGTAATGACATAAAAATGAGGGTAAACATCTATTTTTATATGCTCTGTAACAAACTTTTATAATGTCAGGAATCATAAAACTATTAGAAATGTCACAAAATATGCAAACTAGTTTGAATATGCAGTGGGCTCAGTAATCTGCAATGACTTATTTGAATTATTCCTTTCAAAAAAGTAGCTACATTTGCATTTCAATTTAAAGTGACAACCATCATCTAGTTTCTTAAAATAATTTTACAAAAAGAAACATTTCTAGCCTATTGAATTTTAATTGTCTAGCGTTTCAAGCCTACATCCAACTAGTTAGATAAATTTAAAAGGAAAATAACACACAAACCTTAAAGAGATTTATGGAAAAATTAAAAGTAGTGAATATGCCTTGGGAAAGGGTGATTTTACCAAGCAAACTTTGGTAACATATCACATTGCAGACCAAACTAGTGCTTAGTACTACAATTGAACGCAATTTGAGAACAAGAAATTTCAAGATCTTAGAGGAGGCAGCATCCCAGGATGATAATAGGCAAGCAGTGGCTAAAATAGATAATGCTACCTCATGACTTATCTGTTTAGCTGTTCATTCAACTAATACTCATTTAGGGTTTGCTGGCTGCCAGATGAATGGAGTTCCTACCCTCACAGAACTTTTAGTCTAGTGGAATAAATACCTTATACAGATACACAAATATGTAAACTATGGAAAAATACTTGCAAATAGTCCGGGAATGGCTTTGGGGAGTTAGAATGTTCTAGTTTTAGCTGAGATATCATGATGCAAAGGCTTTAAAATAAAAAAATTTAAAAATAGCAAGAAACAGGCAAACTGGAAATTTACCTGTTACAGAGAAGGGAGTGTTTAGCTGCAAAGGTAGTTTATTTGGCTGCCCTATTTAGGTCGGGTATATAGGTACCATAATGTTAATATATGCTAGCCCACTTAAACATTCAGTGTATGATAAAAGTAACTTATGTAGATGTTCTGTTTGCTGTACGTAATATTTCTGGGACATCAATTCCCTACACTAATACACAATAGTCACTGGAAAGAAAGTAATGAGAACTGGCCTCATAAAAAATGTCAAAGGATTTTTATTTTTAGCACTTTCTCATACCCAGTGCTATGGGGGGGGCCTCACACAGCAATTTGACTGCTGAAATGCCCCTGCCTTGGGCCAGCATACTTTGGGCCCACCTCGTCCTCCTGGGGGTAGTGTCCCCTCAGTAACAGTGAACACATGTGCAAAAAGTGAGATGCTTTATTTAACAACAGATTTTTTTGATGAATCAATTTCTAAGAGGTAATTCTTCACAGCACCGTTTAATTAACACATGGCCCAACACTAATTGGAAAGAAAACTTAGCAGCACAGAAGCTCAGCAAATAGACCTGCATTTGCTCAATATACCAAGATTCTAAAATACATGAAAATGGCTTCCCAGATGGATACCTGGTCTCTCATCTCTCAAGTCGTTGGAAAGCAGACGGTCTCTCCGTTCCTCCGACCACTCCCAAATTCTATGAGGTAGTAGCCAGCACTCTGCTTCTTCCTCACTCTGCAAAGCTGGCCAACCTCATAGGCAAACCCCAAGACTCAAAGTTTAGGCTGGTCTAATCAGTGCCACTTAGTCAGAGGGGAACTTCCACACCCAGAGAACAGACAGAACTATCTTATTCCAACTCTAGCTGTAGCGCTAAGACATCTGCCTCACTTCCCAATACCCAAGGACAGGCAGACGTAGCAGCTGGGATCACTGGGTCCTCACAGGTTCTTTTTGCAACTTTCCCCTTTAAGATCTCCCTTTACTGACTTATACCTGGTCACAGAAATTTTGGCTCCTGCTGAACCTCTAGCGTTCTTGGTTCAACCCCCAACTAATCCTTTGTTCTGGAGATATAGTATAGTATCTCCCACTGTTTTAATGCTCTTGATTAGGAAGGGCTGGATGAGGCCCAAGCACCCCAAGACCTGAAGCTCAAAGTCACCCTTGGCAACAAGCTAGATGCCCACATGGGTGACCCTTCTTTCCTACTGGTACTTAACCTGGCTTAATCCTTAGCGGTTCGTTTAGGCGGAGGGACTCACAACACGGATTATATGCACAGTGAGGGCAAGGTCTTCCATGCCTCACTCTGCCAGGCATCTAAGCAAGGAAAAAATATTTCTTGAAGGAAAACCGAACACTTTAAAACAGATCTCTCCACATTTTGTCTTAAATATTATATCTGTTTCCAAATGAAGTTTGTTTCTGGTATGAGGCATTTGAAATAACATGAAAAGTCAAAAAATTCTTACAGGTAATCTCTCTCTAAACACTACCACAGAGATTTGTGTTTAAAATTTTTAACATTCATAGCCATGAAGTTCAAGCATCACAGACTTTACAGAAAGCAAATGTTTTCAACATTTTGCTTCAATACAGTTCCTTTGGCAATCTCAGTAACAATCGCCTATTTGAGATTGCTTGAATTTAATTTAGGTGTGAATAGTGAAATTAATTGAAATACAAATACTAGGGGTTGGTCAATCTCTAGAAGTGTTTAAACTGAAAAATCTTAAAGATGTCAATATATGTTCCACAAATTTCAAATAGTAAGCTAATAAACTTTGTTAATGTCACAAAGTAGGAAAATAAGACCATGACATTTGTGATTTTATCTATTTTATCTGCCATTTTTAGCAGCTATTTGGTAACTTTTTCCATTCCTCCTTTCATTGCCTCAGATTGAAGCAAAAAGGACAATATGCACTACTTTATTTCCCTCAGAACAAACTAGTGTAAGCATTCAGACAAAATTTAACTTCATTTTGGCCTTAAGGAACGTATTTATCTCCTCTGTCCCGTTTCATTCATCCCACCTCAGCTGTTCCTGCAGCCTCCTCATCCCCGTTAGTGGGGAATCCGGGAACTGGAGGTTTGAATCACAGCACCCCCGTCACTCTAGCCTGGACTGCCTCCCCACGCATCGCCCTCCCCTGCTGCCTGGCCCCTTGTATCTTTTCTCCACACGGCAGCCAGCAGTCTTAAAAAAAAAAAAAAAGTCTTCCCTGCTTAAAACCCTCCAGTATGGCCCACTGCAACTTGAATTAAACTCAATTCCTTACCCTGGTCTATCAAGTGCTATGTGAACTGGCCTAGACACAGCCCCTCTCAATTTCAGTGTCACTAGGCTCCAGCCACACCAGCCCTTCCTTCTGCTCCTCAGTGGTGCCAAGCACCTCCCAAACTTAGGGACTGTCCCATGCTGAATTAGCCAATGCCCCTTCACCCCTACTTCCACCACTTTCTATACCATTTCTGTTTTTCACCCCACTTATCACACATAAAATCACATTTATTTTTTGTGTGTCTATTCCCTGCGTGCTCTCTTCTGCTTCTTAACTGCAACCTGAGAGGAAAGATCACCATTTTCTCCGTTACCTAGAACATTCCTGTCATATAGGAAACATATCTGTTGACTGAATAAATGAAGAAATAGTTGTGTGACTTTGGGTAAATTAATTAAGCTCTGAGCTAGCCAAACAAATAAAAAAGGTATTAATTTATCATTCAGTCTCTTTCCTCTGCTCCTAAATTCTTCCCCACAAATTGGAAAACAAGAAAAAGAAAAACCTTAGTAAGTACAGAAGCCCAGCAAACAACCGATATGAACTAGGCTTCAGGCTTGCTTAACAGGCTGATTCTGAAATACATGAGAATGACTTCCCACACAGACACCTGGTTGTTTATATTCCTTTGAATCAACTTTAGTTACAGCAAGTAATAACTCGAGTGTAGCTGATCTAATTTAGAGTTTCAGAAAGACAACCCTGTAACTCTACCATTGGGAAAGGTAAAAAAAAAATCTAAAATCCAAACATAAAGCCATAGAGAAAAGAATGACTGTCCTTTAATTTTGGATACCAGCTAATACTTGATTAAAGATTATGACACTAAAAAATTTTGAGTTAAATCCAGCAAAATTTTTAAATCCATTTTACTTCTGTTTAAAACACACTTCTACCACTTTTTAAATACTTTTTAGTATCTATCAACTACTGTGTTCTGTATCAAGTATTAGAATTTTGTACACGGACACTAATGTCTAACCTAAAATTATAGGCTCCTAGATATTTTAGATATTAATAAATATTCTAGATTATAAATTTGGCAGGAAAAATTTTTAATAAAACAATCATACAAAACATGGCAAAACTATTTAAAATGAATTAAAATTCAGAGAGATTTGACTTACTAATATTTCTATATCAGTTTGTTTTTATAAGAACTGATTATTTCCAGCTTAAATCTATTTAGCATTGTGGTAAGGAGAAATGAGAATAAAGTACATAAAGCTCATAACCTCGTGCTCAGCACATATTGTTGATAAATATTGGTTTTCCTTTTATTATTATCTTAGAAAGACACAAGTTTACAAAACATGTCAACTTCAGTTAAAAGCTTCTTACACAAGAAACAGCCACATATGAGGAATCTAACCTGGTATTTATTTAAAACAACTACATTCTTGGGAAACATACCACATGAAATTTATTTCAGTGACTGATGAAAATCCTCACTAATAAACCAACTTCTGGAATCTAATTATATAGATTCATGTTACAATTTAAGAGGTCTTTTAGAGAATCGCTTTTTTTAAAAAGTACAAAGTTACATGATCAAGAAACGTACTCTTTAATAGGTAACCAAAGCATTGAGAAATATTCCTCTTACTACACATATGGCTCAGTTTCATCTAAATTTTACAAAAAAAAAAAAAATTGTTGATTTGAAATACTAAATGAAACAACTAAGTTAACGAAATGAAGCCCAATGAACAACAAACATGTTACTCTGCTACTAGCTAAGCCCTGTGAAATATTTTACAATTTCTGTCATGCTTTTACTTTATACAGTGTAACACTGCCCTTTCTAATATACTAATTAGGATAAAGCTCAGCATTCTATCCTTCTAACAACAGCTGGAAGAGAATACAGAGATGAATGTATGAATATATGTCATGTTCTACAATCTACATTTTCTAATATTCCAAAGTTAACAATTTAACTAAATCCAATCTGAGGTATATTAAGAGATCACAACTTTTTTTAATCCATATCATAGGTGATGTACCATGCAAACACTGCAACCGAAACTCCACACACTGAAAGGAGATAATATTTATATTTTTGCCATAGCGATAGCTCAACTGCCACTTCATCTCTTTTCCTGTTCTTCTTCCGACGACCCTTCAGTCTGTTTTCAAAAGCCTCCAGTTCAGCCTAAATCAAAACAGTATCATTTTTATTAAATTCAATACATACATTTATTTTTATTCAAATGAAAAGTTTCAAATCAACTTGGGAAATGTTTTAATAGTAATGGCATATAATAAATACATTGATTTTTTTAAAAAACCTTCTCTCCACTACTAATTATATTCAACAAATTCAGAGTTTAGGTAAGCAAAAAGGGAACTGAGGCATAATCAAAGAGATTATTTCAAACTGTAGGCCTGACTTTAATACTAAAGATTAAATGTTTGATTAAATGAGGGTACCCTAAAATATAGACATCAGTTTTACACTTCAACACCATCATTATAGAACCAGGGTTCTATACAGTTTCTAGCAAGTGCTAAGACAGACCTAGTAAGAATAAAGATACCTATAATTCTAGTTTTTTACAATGTGAATAATAAACATTAGTGGCTTATCAGGAAGAAATTCAAGTAAGAGAACTGATTTTTCTCTTTATCAAATACATTTAAACACATACAGTCAAAATTCTTCAAGGGAAAAAAATGCTTCATCCTTTAAATCAAAATGACTAGTTTAAAAAGAAAAATTAGAAACTGGTTCTAAAAAAGGGTAACTGAAATACATCCATTATCAAATGTGGATTTCCATTCTACTGCTAAGAACTTACTTATTAAACTTTTATACTTGATAATGTAATATAATACACTATAGTGCATAGTTATTAACTGAAAAATATATATAGTATTCATGTAAGACTCTGTAAATGTTTATTTAATAGAAGGAAACAGAAACTTCATTGAGTATATCTATTCCTGTGGCCATAAACCACACTTGAAAAAGACCAAATGATATCCTTAGTTTAATACAAAGTAGCATTCTTCAGTGAGCCAAATGTCAGAATCTCCCAGGTGGTTGGCTGTTGTATATCGAAAAAGGCAAAATATCTTAAAAGCAGCCAAACTTAAGGACCACTAACACAGTAAAATACCTGATGCTTACATGATGAACCACAGTCATCAAGCGTACATTCCGTCCTACGTTATCCCCTAGGGATTGGTTCCAGGATACCCCCAGGACACCAAAATCCACAATGTTCAAGTCCCTTACACAAATGATGCAGCATTTGCATATAACCTCCTGTATACTTCAAATCATCTCTAGGTTACTTATTATAATACTTAATACAATGTAAATGCTATGTAAATAGTTATTTTACTGTATTTTTTATATTATTTTTATTGTTGTTTTTAAAAAATTTTTTTTCCCAATTATTTTCCATCCTTGGTTGATTCAATAGGCAGATGTTGAATCTACAGATGTGGAGAACCAACTGTATTCTGGTTAAAGAAATCAGTAAACAGGGAATATATTTAAGATTTTTATTCATAATGGTATATAAAAAGGTAGGGGAAGGGATGGAGAAGAAGCCCCCTAAAGTATTCTTAATAATTTAATCTCCCAGGATTCCAGCCAACCTATGTTTTACTATATTAGCTGGATAACTTACTTTGGGGATATCAGGCAAATCGAGTTTATAAAACCATAAAGTATCAGGTCATCTTGGCTAACCTTTATTTGCTACATGCATTGTTTCTAAATCTTCTCACAAGTCATGCAAGTTTCAATTTCCTCATTCATAAAAGCAGTAGTTTAGCATATAATACAATCTGCTTGATAAGGATACAGCATCTCAAAATGCAAACTGACAAGTAATTACACATCACAATGTTATGCTGCTCTTTGAAGTATACTATCAATATAGTAAATACCGTGAGCAAACAGAGGGTGTCCGGAACGTACGGAACGTACATGTTATGTTAGGTAATAAAGAAGAACAGACAATAATCCTGCATTTAAGGATCTAATAGAGAAATAGGGAATGTATTATTAAAACAGATACATTGGTTAATAAACAGCACTTATTTGTTACAGATGATCTGCAACTCAGTAGAACAGAAAAATACTTTTACATGAGTAAAGACGGGCTCCAGGAGATGCCTTACAACAATGACAACACCCTCCCTCCCTCTCCTCCACCAAAAGAGGAGTTAAAACTCTCATGGGTAGAGAACAGATGAAATTGGCAAGGAAGTAAGTTGGGAATATACAAAATATTTGAGAATATATGAGATCTCATGCCTTCTCAGAGTTTCCGTATACTTGGAGTGAAGTAAGTGGACGGCTCATTATTGTCTGATAGGAACTGTAATTTTCAGTTTAGAAAAGAGTTGACTAGCCCTAGTTTGAACTTGGAATATATTTGTGTTTCCACAAAACTAACAATGAAGCTAAGAGACATAAATCTGAGCATTTTGTTTAATTACCTGTTGTCTTCGTTTTTCCTCTTCAAGAGCAGCTTTGGCTTCTGCTTCTTTTATCTGTTTATATACATTTAAAAGTAAATCAACAATTTAATCATCAATTTTTTTTTTCTTTTCTCTTTTCTTTTTTGAGACAGGGTCTCGCTCTGTTGCTTGGGCTAGAGTACAGTGGCATCATCATAGTTCAGTGCAACTTCGAACTCCTGGGCTCAAGCGATCCTCCTGCCTTGGCCTCCCAAAGTGCGAGGATTACAGGCATGCGCCACTGTGCCCAGCCTATCAAATTTTATATAGAATTTAACATCTTCTCATCCAGGCTCCACTAACCCATAGCAACTTTAGGGAGCTTTTTATGTGAAATCATTTAAAGAAATGCAAATGTTATATTGAGAAGTTTCACCAAGACACTTGGTGGGAAACCTGCAGCCATAAGGCCACATGTGGCCTTCTTTACTAAATCCTTAAATGCAGCCTTTTGAATGAATCCAAATTTTACAGAACAAATCATTTTATTGAAAGGATTTTTGTGGCACAAACAACAAAGAATTCCAGTATCTTATTTCTGTATTATTTTAACCTAATTTTCAGGAGGCTTATGCTAACATTAAAACAAATGACTTCGTCCCAGAGCAAATACACTAACTGGTCCAGAGGACAAAAAGTCTAGTTACATGGTAGGCAATAAAACACACCCTAGGATTCAAAATCGGCCTATAAAGCTAGGCTTTTATTACAAAAGCAAAGAGATTTCAAGTTGTTTTTAACAAACACATAAATAAGCAGGGAAAGGCTACTAGTACATTAAAAATGATGTGTAACGAGACATTACCTCAGATGCTTTCCGCTTCATTTCTTTGCATGTTGTGTCACATTCTATTGAAACCTGATTTTCACGCACTTTATTGCATTGCAATTCCTACAAATAACCCAGATTTCAAATTTTAAATGATCTTTCCCATAACATCCTACCTATATACCACAAAAAAGCAAAATTTATCTAATAGTTTAAGGTCATATATTTAACAGTCATGTTCATTAATTTTTAATGATGATATGGTTGTAAGCATTAAATATCTACTTCAAATAGTGATTACTCCTTTATTAAGTGAATTCCATAAAATTAAAATAACCCAGTATTTACTAAGTGGCACTACTGGACTTAGCTCCAATTTTATTTTTATTCTTTACTTTTCTTTATTGTTTCTTGTTATTCTTATAAAACTTCCAGGGAATATAATGTTTTAGAGCAGTACTGTCCAAGAGAGCTTTCTGGGTGATGGAAGTGTTCTAAACCCGCACCATCCCTAGGATAAAGAGTCACTGAAGAGTTTAGAACAGCTAAGTGGCATGACCAGAGGCAAGGAAATCAGTATGAAGTTTTGCTAAGGCCTAGGAGAGAGTTGTTCCAAAGTACTAATGGGCACCAAATGGCACTTGGATAAGACATGAGATTTCAAAGAAAACTTAAGACACATCTCAGATTAAAAGTGGCTTGACTATTGATTTTCATATAAAGGTGGTCAATTTAAATATCTAAAATGTACAGATTCCAGTCTCTAAGAAGTCAGGCCTACACATGTAAATTCAGAAGTTAGCCACCCCAGGAAAATACACCAGGAACTCTGAAAAATAAATGAAAAGCAAAAGGACCTATAAAAGATCCTCAATGAATATCTCAATAAATGAGTAAATTTAAAGAGAAGAAAAAGGATATTAGCTTTAGGGAATAACCACAGGAATATGAAGAACAAAATGAGTTACAACTGTAACTGAGATCAGGTAAATCAGAGGTCAAAAAACTTAGTTTCAAAGGAGTCAACTTTGCCAACAGGGATGGTCAAGGAAAATGAGAATGGAAAAAAAAACTATTAGGCCACTATATTTTCCTTCATAAATAAGTTCTGTTTAATGGTATATAGTTTGTTTCCACTGGGCTTTCCAATCATTAGTTTTCACTCATTTATTCCTTTGCTATCAATATTTTAAAATTAATTCTTTCCAAGTTTAATGTTATTTTATTTTATAAGGCTGTGCATACAAGGCCTTTTTAAGGCAAAATTTTCAAAGGACAATACTGATGGCAAAAAAGTTTCATAAGTAAGAGCAACAAAGGTTAATCCCAGACCATTTCTTAAACCATGCGACTCACTTTATCACTCACACTGTGTTCCTTGTTCAGACCTCAAATCCAGAGCACATTGACTTTATCCAAAAAAGGGCACCAAGTTTGGTTCCAACATAAAAAAATCTTTCTTCTGCTGTTAAGTTACAGAAAACTAAATAGCCAAAGCTGATTTTTAAAATAAGCATTTATAGAAATTGGTAGGCTTATTCTAATAATAAAAAAGTTTATGAAATAAAACCTTAAAATTAGAGGGCAAAAAATAAAACCAAAGAACTATCAGAACATACATAACAAAAACAACTTACATAGAAAAGTATTTTCAATAACTTAAAATATTTACCTTTTTTATTCTTTTACAAGGACATCTAAGTTTTACCTTCTGGTTGCAATTAAAGGGACATTCACCAGGATGACACATCTCTTTGCATCTATGACCACAAGGAAGCTTAAATAAAATGAACATAAAGCAATTACATATTTACAATTTGGTCACACCCTACCTGCCCCCACACCCCAACAACTATTTTAAGAAAGAGTCCACCACAGATAGGGTCACTCAATCCTGGCTAATGGGCTAATTTGCCAACTATTTTTTAGATATAAATTACTTTAATTATACAAAATTTTTAAATATTTTCCCCAGCTCTACTCCAAGAGTACATCTTACAGCCACCCTTGTAACTAGTTGTAGCTGTGTGACTAAGTTCTGGCCAATAGAATGTAAGCAAGAATAAGTGATTTGTGCCTTAAACCATTACAAGAGTATATAAACTTCCATATTCTCTTCTTCTCCATGTGCTAGAAAATGATGACAGCTGGAGCAATAATGGAAACCATGTTTTAAAGAGAGCAGAGATGCCAGCAAACTTGGATTCACGGATGAACACCCAGAGCTTAACGACACAGCTGCGTTCCCTGAACTGTTGTGAGAAAGAAAGAAAATTTCCTCGTCCTTAAGACACTGTACTGTGTCACAACTGCTTAGCTTTTTACTATCAAACATTTATTCTTGCCACAATATATTAATATTAAAACATATTATTGAGGTAGCCAAAACCACTCACTAATTGCCATGATGTCTATAAACTCCTTGTGTTTAATTATTTACTATCTTCCTATCCCAGTCAAGCTTTCAGATGAAACATTGTTTCCTTCTGTCTATTCAAATCTTATCTATACTTTGAGACATTGGCTTAAATCACCATAAGAGCCTGATATAAATTTGCCTACATTGAAATAAATAGTAGTTATGTAAGAAATCTATTTCTAAACTGTTGTGGCATTGCTTGTATTGTCTTCTACTGTTAACAAAAATTTTTTAGGCACTTCATATATTTCTGAATGTAAATAAAATACACTATTGGTTAGGGATTAAATTCCAAAGTCAGACTACCTAGAACTGAATTCTAGATTCCCTCTTTACTAACTGTGGGACCTTAGGCAAGTCACTTTTCTGTGCTTCACATGTAAAACTGTGAAGAGAAATATTTTATAAATACTATATAAAGTTGTTGTAAGGATTAAGTGTGCTCAGTATACTTGTATTTAGCTATTATAATAAAAGTTATTATAAGTTAGTAGAGGGCAATGGTCTTACACAATCCCCAATTTATGAGGGTTCAACTTAGGATTTTCAACATTATGATGGGTTTATCTGGATGCAACCCCATCGTTAAGTCGAGAAGCATCTATATTTTTGTGTGTGTTTCATCTCGTATTTCCTAACAAAGATACCTTGCAAATAGTGGATACCTTAATAAACATTTAAATTCTCTAATTTCTGATCTCTTTGATTCACCAAACTGATCTTTTAAATCACCTACTCCACCAACTTTAAGAAATTCAGAATCCTTTTCCATTGTCTTTAGTCTCTCTCTAGTGTGCAACTAGGTTTCCTATTCTTTAATTTTTAGGCTAGGCATTCATTCATATTAAAACTAAATTTAGACCACTCACACTGTGTATTTCCACTAATCCTACCACAGGGAAGAATACTGCTAGAATGATTTCCACACTGGGCATTCCTGAACCACTTCAGTTTTGTTTCTCCCTACAGCTAATACTAGGCCCTGAACACTGCTTAACAGGCTCAGTACTTATTCATTATCAAATACTTGCCCCACAGTGGTTTTTCAAGCCTTTGTATTCCTTAACTTCACTCTGAGTTCCTGCCAGTGCCTCTAGCCTGACTTCATGAAGACGACACATATCAGGCATTAGCTCACCATCTACCATCTCTTGCCCTCATACGTCTCTATATCCTCTTGTTCTTTCCTTAATCTCTGAGGTGATTTCATCAGTCATCTTCTCTATAAAAGTAACTAACCACTCTACTTCAACTTTAAATCAATGATTGTAAAGGGGAAAGTGAATAGGGAAGCGCATCAGAATAAAGATCTTTTTGAAAATACACAGAATCATGGCTGCAGTGTGGCCTTTCACTAACCAGTGTTCTATCCCTCCAGTGCGTTGGGGGTTGATGAAATAACTGGTCTTGATGTTGTATCTTTCTGCCTCCTAAAATACCTCATGCTCACTCTTCACAATTTCACTGAATCTTGAAAGTCTTTTCTCTGGGTGAGTCTTCTGCCTTCATAATATATATCTTTCTTCTAAATCTTTCATTCGACCCTGCCACCTCACCTAACCCCCTACTCCATGAATCTCCTTGCCAACTTTCCACATCCAGCGCTGGTAAAAGCTATAGAAGACATAAATTGAGACGGCTGCCTGGTTCACCAAATCCCCCCAGTTGCACAGCCACGGCTATGCTACCTGTTCCAGTTCCCTCTCATGGCTGCCTGTGCCCAGAGGAGTCCCTGGACTCCAGGTGAGCCAATCACATTTTCTCTCCCAGAAATCTGAACACTTGAAAGGGAGAGATGGCAGTTTGCATAGTCATCTCACAACAGGATTATTAAAATAATCATTTATTGCTTCAAATGGCCTCTTTTTTAATAATCTTACATAAAGTTTAAAACTTTCAAGTTCAATTTCTAACTATTTCTGTTCTTAAACGAAATCCTTAAAAAGTGATCCAAAGCTTTAGTTACAATATTGTTAACAAAAAGGTGTACAATCCATTCATTCTTGTTTTATATTTAATCAAAGATTGATGAGTATATTTAAGACTTAGTTGTCATCTCTTCCTGACTCTAAACAGGATGAGAAACAGGTAAGTACATAAAGAACTTAAAGAAATTTAGTACATCCATTTAGTACACCTATAAGTCAAAAGGATTCTTTTTTAAATGTCTACCCAAATCAAATAACTGTCACCGTCCCAACCCAACAACAACAAAAGGAGCATGCTCCCTTTCAGACTGACCAAATACAGATGGACTACTTCGGTTTCTCAAATTACTTCCAGGACATATCAATAGTGAGTTTTTACCTTTTTACTCCGCATGATGTTTTCAAACCACTTTTGATACTTTTAGTTTGAATACAATGTTTATTGAAGCATCAGAATCTTTAAAAACACAACTTTATATATGAATGCTTTACATTCATTAATTTGATACAGCAATGAAAGACTCAACGATCTGAATGGGACCAGCACCAAAAGCCACAGTGAAAATGTACAGAGGTATCTCCTGTGACATCACCTGCAAAGCGCTGTGGATGTGCATGTCTGTCCTCCCACACCACCCCTCCACAGATGCACACA